GCAAATAAACCTATTTTTCTTGTTCTCCAAAAGCGAAATAATTTCCTTTTGCGCACACCAAACAAGTCAGTTCAAGACTAATGATGTGGCAATCAGCTGCTAAAATATTCGCTGCTAGTATTAGTGGAGAGAAATGGTGCACCTGCGCATAAGGCACATAAGTGAAATGAATGCAACACGATTATAGCAATCAGTCATTAGCGAATGTTGTAGTTTGTTATTCATAACTAGGGGCCCAGTGCACAAAGTCATGCACCTTGAAAGGAACTGTTGGCCGCGAGGCTGTGGTGGGCACAGGGATGGGTCTCAGCCCATCCTCCGCACCCCCGGCCTGCCCCTCCAGCCGAGGCCCCCAGTCCCCTGTCTGCCGGCAGCCCACTCCTGCCACTGCTACTCCCACGTGCTTACAACACCGGCCCCGCTCGCACCCGCTGACAGCACAGAGCTATTGGGGCCGGCGCCAGCAGCGGATGCTAGAGGGGCCAGTGCCATCAGTGGGTGTGAGTGGTGGCTGCTGCCCTGATTGCCCCTCAGGAGCAGGGGGAGGTGGAGAAGCCCTCAGGGGCAATTGGGACCTGCAGCCACCGCTCACACCTGCTGATGGCACTGAGCAATTAGGGCCGGAGCTGGGCGCCAGCAGTGGGTGCAAGCGAGGCCTGCGCCGGCAGCAGGTGTGAGTGCCAGGTGGGACTGTGACACGCAGGAGCTAAGAATTTTCAGTAACCACCAGAGGCTCACCCTGATGACAGCAACCAGCACCCCGCCTTGGTCTGGTGCCTCCACTCATCCCACCACGACTGACGCCTGCTATGTTCTATGCTCTGCCACCTGCTGCCAATGCCCACCATGTTCCGCGCACACCCCCTGGTGGTCAACACTTGTCATAGCGACCGGTTGTTCGATTGTTCCACCATTCGGTCTATTTGCATATTAGGGTTTTATATAGAAAGATTATGTATAACAGGATATTGTAAAAATTAAGTTACGAAATTTTTATTACGTTTCTTATATACCATTATACTGGCTGGGCTGAAAAAATATTTGTTGTGGCCCTCAGGCCATGAGTTTGACATGCTTGGTGTAGGGAGTAGTAGTTATCATTCACCCATACCTGAGAGGTTATCCTGGAGAAGGATACTCTGGGGAGGAGAAGGTTTTCCTAGGGGAGGTTTCTCTTTCTTTTGCTCATAGTGTACTCGTACATCCAAAGCCGGTTCTACCGATCGCCAGAGGTGATTCTGGGCCATCCCTACAACATGGCCATTGACATGTGGAGCCTGGGATGCATCATGGCTGAACTGTACACGGGCTACCCACTGTTCGCCGGGGAGAATGAAGTGGAGCAGCTGGCCTGCATCATGGAGGTGAGGGGGTGGGTTGGCCACGCTGCACTGGGCGGCGGCAGGACAGCTTGCTTCCACTCTCAAAGTTTGGGTTGTATCAGGCTCACTCTAGGGCAGTGGCCTGCATACTCTTCTGTTTTGGAGTAGATGTTCCCTAAAAGTATTTTTGAAATTATGTATCCCCTTTTACATTTTTAAGTTGACATCTAACATTTTTTACCATTAATAATTACAAAAGATGTAATTTTCACATATTGTGAAGTGACATTTAAAAATAAAACTGTTATACCAGTCTTTCAAATATATTCAAAAGACTCTAAAACCAGAGTGACATGACACCCATCAAAATCTATGTGTTGTTTAAAAAAAATCTCTGTGTCATTCAGTCATTAGTCATTTATTTTCTTAGCTTTCTGGGAAGTATATCTCCCAATAAAAAGATACATCAGAAGATCATTTATTATGCCTATTATTCTTTTACTTAAACGCCTTTTGTTATGAAATTAAATTAGATAAAACAGGAGTAAAATAACCTTAAGAAATAGAAAATTTCTGATGAACAAAGATATTTTGATTGTGAACAAAAAAGGCTCATTATCTATCTATCTGTCTATCTATCTATCTATTTCTTTTTACCTATCTATACAAATCTCTTTTCTAAAGTGTCTCAAAGTTACAACTTAGAGACACACACATACCCTTGAGAATTATTTAAATACTAGAGGCCTGATGCATGAAATTCGTGCAAGGGTTGGCCCTTGCGGTCCCAGCTGCCTTGGTCCTTGGGGCCCCACCCCCTGTACACTGGTTTTTCCGAAAGGTCATTCCAGAAGGTCATTCTGCCGTCTGGTCTAATTAGCATATTAGCTATTTTATAGGATAGTTTAATTTCATGGTTGAAAATAATAAAGTGTTAAAATAGCTGTAAACTGGCATGAGAATCAGTAAACCTGGAGTTTCATTCTGGATCTTCCTCTTTGGCAACGTACTTTCCTGCTCTGGATTTCTAAAAAAATGTAAGTATCCGTATAGATGGCTTCTAAGGTTGATGATGGATGATTTAATAAAGCCCCCCTGAACTCTTTCTGCTTCCAGTACCAAGGAGAATGAGGAATATGGGATCTGAGCTGAGTTCCTACTGCCCCAGAGTCCGCTTCCTCCTGACCTCAGTGTCAGTGGGGCTGAGGAGCAGGGGGGCAGGGTCTGCATGGATATGGCTGGGAACCCAGCTGCAAGTGCAGATGACCCTGGGCTTAGGGTGACACCTGTAATTTCTCTATCTCAGTGCAAACTATAGATTGCAGTGAGGACAGGTAAACAAGTAAGTGCTACACTTTTTTTTCAAGTAGGTATTTTGTGATATAGTGTTTGATGGCCACCTGTTTTTTTCCCATCTCCTCTTCCTTTCCTCCCTCCCCAGTGCTCTGAGCCAGGATGTGATATTCCTTAGCTCAGGGCTTTCAGCATGGATACTGACTGGGTTGTTCAATGTGATAATGACATCTGGCTACCATCAAGAGTGCCTACCTCTAGTTGGTGCCGATGCCTGTTTAGAGTGACCTGACCGGTATTGATGCTCAGCTTGCTGAGACAGCCCTGGGTTAGGAGTCAAAGACCCAAGCTCTGGGCCTGCTCTGCCACTGGCTTATAGCACAATGTCCTGGGTCTGTATCTGTAGAAGGCAGAGTTTGACCAAAGGCCCCCTCAGCTCTAACAGTCTTTGAATGTGTGACTTACAAGAGTGAAGCAACTGCGTTTTAATTGTTGAAGGTGCTGGGCCTGCCACCATCTCACTTCATTCAGACGGCCTCCAGGAGACAGACATTCTTTGGTAAGTTCCCAGGTCTAACTCTCTTTATCCCATTGTGGCCTATGAGGTAGCACAGGCCTTGAAGACATCTCCCACACCCCAAACCCCATTGAGTGCTCTTCCCCTGGCCCCATCCCAAAAGACATGCTATGATTAGGGATCTCTTTCAGAAAAGTAACGATGCTGAAAAGTGGTACCAGATGGATTGGTGGAGACAGGATGGGCATGAAGTCTTGGCAGTGAAAATATGTAGGAACATGAAAACAATCAGGTTTCTGCTCAGAAGATATATCCGCAGATCTTGGAACCTTAAATATTATTACTATACCCTCTCCTGTAAGTTCTCCTAGCCTCTCCAAGCAGTTAGCCCCCTCACACCATGCAGTGTGCAGGGAAATCAAAGAGCAGAAGGTTCTTTTCAAGAATAGTGAAAGTTTCATTGCTATATTCTGTCATTAATGGAGCATTATTCTTTTTCTACTGAAATTCTCTTATTTCTCCAGAACCTTACTATCTCAGTTCATTACAACTTTGAATTAGATGGGTAAACAAGGGCTCTCAGAACAGTTTTGCTGGAGGTGTGTTGTGGCTTGCCAGTTATGTGCAGGACATCTGGCTAATTACTGGGGTTAAGCCTCATCCACAGTCCCATGATGCCTTCATCACAGTTCCCACACTTTGGAATCTATGATCCTCTGCCTTTTTATTCAAGTGGTGCTGTGCAAGATGGACAGGTGGATCAACAAGGTCCAACTAAGGCAGGGCTTCCAGGGCACTATTGACCAAAAAGACAAAATTAGTCTTATATCTAAAATCCCCTTGAAGAGCTACAAGAAGCTAAGGGATTCCCATCTAGAAAAAAAAGCAATCATAGCCCAAAGGTCATCCCAGTGAAGTGAAGCCAGACACGAGGAACGGGGGGACTCCACAGGCAGGGACTCCCTGACATCTGGAACGACATTTCTGACCAGCCATAGTCAATGGGTTAGTTCACAGGCTCATACTGCTATGGAATCCCAGTCATTCCTAACCCTCCCACCTCTTATTTTTCACCTGAGAGTGGTCTCAAAATGAAAGGCAATCACATAATTTCTCTCCACAACTTGCCCTGTCAATAGGAGAGTCAAACATACCCTCATGGAGGATCCTCTTGGTTAGCGTTTTAGTCATGTTGGTGGTCAGTGGGTATGCACTGGTTCAGCCATGTGGTGGTTAACATGTAGACTATTCCTGTACCCTTTTAGTAAAATGCCACAGCCTCAAGCCCCTGCCTGACCCATCTCCTAGGACTCCTTGGATTCCCCATGACTTAGAAACTAAAAGTTTAAGGCCTGGCAAGAAGAGGTCCTCTATGATCTACTTCAGTGCCAAGGATGTCTGTCATCCATTGTGATTGTACAGTCCCCTGCCATTCCAATGGTTAAATCTTTTAAACATCACCCTGCAGTCATGGCTGGAGCTTTGAAGACCTTGCCTCTGAGTGGGGTCAGTGTCTTGGTAGCCTTAGTATGCTGCTTGCACATTAACTAACGCTTCCAGAGCAGTCTGATGGCAGACAGAGGATCTGGCTGACTGGCTGCTTAAACATGGAGCAGTGGAACTGGTCTTTTGATCCCAAACTGGTCTTTTGGATTTCAAAGGATTTAGGGAAAGAATAGTAGAAATATTGGTGTTTCCTCCTTCTAGACAAAGACATTGTGGGAAGAGCCATATCTTATTTTTAAACCCCCACCCCAGGATATGTTTTTATTGAAGAGAGAGAGAGAGAGAGAGAGAGAGAGAGAGAGAGAGAGGAGAGAGAAAGAAGAAGAAGAAGAAGAAGAAGAAGAAGAAGAAGAAGAAGAAGAAGAAGAAGAAGAAGAAGAAAAAGAGAAGAGAAGATTGATCAATTGCCTCCCTCTTAACTATAACACTAAACTCCGGAGAAAGTATGAGTGGGGACTGAAAGGAAGGGAAATAGAGCATCTTTGAGAGAGTACCAAAGACATATGCATGCCCATTTTATAGGGTATCCGATTTTTACCATCAGCACTAGGCTTTACAATGATGATGTGGTTTTGGTAGCAACATCCACATATACTCACTTCCTGCATAAGAAAGAATATTATTGGGAGCTGCATCCTCTTCAGTGTTTCTCAAACTTTATCTGATTATAAGAATCACTTGGGTACTTGACAGTATGTTAATTCTCATGATCCTCAAGGGTCTATGTTTTTAACAATAGCTCTTTGTGATTCTCATGGTACAGTGAGCTTGGGAAACACTATGTCCACTTCAGTTCTTGGCTCCCTTCCTCAGGTTAGGTTGCCAACTCCCAGCCACTCCTTGTAAATACCACTAATTAGTAGCGAAGTGATGTTGCCTCAAAGGTAAGATACTTAGGAGTTCCAGGCAGCAAGAAGGAGATGGAGAGAATAGGTGGGGTGAGAAAAACCTGTACAAGTAAATCAATTATGTAATGACGACTTTAGGAACTATGTCATTTATAAGCCTTCGAGCCTGATTCTTCTTTGGTTATTTGTAAAAAGAGCAACATAAAGGATAAGGTGGGGGTGGGGCCACTGGTGCCACAGTTCAAAAGGGAAATGGAGATTTGTGTGAATTCACAGCACCTATACCCTATGCCAGTGGTCGGCAAACTGCGGCTCACGAGCCACATGCAGCTCTTTGGCCCCTTGTGAGGCCACGAAGTTTCAATCTCACTGTACGTGCGTGCCTGCACGTGGTATTTTGTGGAAGAGCCACACTCAAGGGGCCGCAGTTTGCCGACCACTGCCCTATGCCATGCATTGCATCCTTATACAAATAAATACATATATAAATACACGTCTGTGTATGTACACACATACACATATGCACATTCTTGGTCCTGCCAGGAATTAAGAGCAGATGTTCTTTTGGAGGCTCCACAAATTGCACTGATTACAAAAGTAATGAAAGCTCTTCATTATGCACCTTCCAGAAAGGTCTGTTACATGAACCCCACTGTGTTTTTGTGAGAATTCAGTTTAATCTGTAAATTGTGTGTACATGTGTGTATATACATACCCACCCATTCACATGCAGATTTATAAGGTGTGAGCATAAGTGGTCAACTTTTCTGAACATACACACCAGAATCCAGGTGTCCAAATGAGTGGTCTCACCTGCACAGCATTGCACACAGCACCTTGGGAACCTTTGGAGCTGTCATCAGGGCTTCTTTCCAGGCACGACAAACCATACATGTGGTGAGGGCTATAATTGGTGAAAATGACTGAAGAAAGTCACTTCAAGCTGTTCCCTAAGAAGCAATCAAGTTTGATTTCCAATTATGGACAAAAATTTTTGATGTGACTACAAAGAAGTAATGAGACTAGTTTGTCTGTGTGGTTTGTAAATGGGCTCTGAAAGCAACTCATTCTCCTAAAATGACTTTCTTATTATGCCCCATGATGTCCCAAATTCTCACTTTATTGAGTTAGTGGGGAAGAAGCTAAGGCATCAGTAATCTGAGAATGAACAATATCCTTTTTGTTCAGAGCTGAACGTTTTCATCATCTCAGATTTATTATTATTGTTATTAATCCTTATCATTATTATTTTACCTAAAATCATTGATTGATTCAAGGAGGAGGTGGTGGGAAGGAGACTCAGAACATAGTAAATAGCAGGGAAAATTGATCTAAAAGGTAGTTAAATCCATTGGATACTTCACACGTGGTTATTTCAATTGAGTGAGACTGCAGGTGTGTTTGTATGGAGGGGGCGGTGAAGTACCGGGAGTGAGAGAGCTGCAAAGACCACCCAAGACAGCTTGGATGAGTGAACAACTGTGATGTGACCAATGAATATTTACAACTGGAACTAAACACCGACTGTTGTATCTCTAAAGATTCCACAGGTTTTCCTAAAAATATAATTAACAATAGCGGGAGAAAAAGATACCCGGATTCCAAGGATCTCACGATGGTGCTGAAAACCTACGACTCCAGGTTCCTGGACTTTCTCAGAAGGTGTTTAGTGTGAGTTTGTCAAGGGTGTCTTTGTCTCTGACTCTCCTTTTAAATACTGTACTTTCCCACATGTTTGCTGGTGGAAGTCTGGGGCTGGGAGAGAGTTGTAAAAACAATAAGTGCTGACCAAAGACCTTTAGAGTCTACAAAATGCTTCCCCATCTGTTGCCTCATCAGTCTGCTCTCCCCACCTCCTGTGTGATTGTCAGGGCAAATGATTTGCTCTGTTTTGAGATATGACAGCTGAGGCTCAAAGAGATTAAATGACTTTCCCTGGATTAGAATGTGTGTAGAGCTTGCCTTCTCCTTGGCCTCCAGCTGCCTGGCAGTGAGATGGTAGGCAAGTCCTAAATGTCTTCTGCACATATGCCCAGTGTACAAGTTCAAGGCCTCTCCCCATTCCCCTGGGGTTTAGAGCCTAAATTCTTTAGGGAAGGGAAAGGGTGAGTTATAAACCATTTATTATGTGCAGCTTTTTGAATCTACATGGGTATTTTAAGTCTTAGAAATCAAGTTTCATACTTAAGTCAAATCACTGTAAGAAAAGAAGAGCACATGAAGCACCCACCTAGTACAGTGCCTAATTAGAAGGTGTTTGGAAAATGTAAGCTACTATCATTTTTTAAAATATGTTTTCATTGATTTTTAGAGAGGAAAGAAGAGAGAGAGAAACATCTAAGAGAGAAACATTAACATCGCTCAGCTGCCTCCTGCACACCGCTTGCCAGGGCATGTGCCCTGACCGCAAATCAAACTGGTGACTTTTGGTGCATGGGTCAAATGCTCAATTACTGAGCCACATCATCTGGGCACTACTGTCTTTTTTTTATTGTCTAAAGTTTTACATATGTCTCCTTTTTCCCCAACTGACCCC